GTTCTGCAGATGAGTGAATAGGCAGTACGCGTGGGGTGCGCTTGACGGGTAAAAAAATTGAGGTCTCCGGTCCTCAGTGTGAGTCTCATTATTATTGGAAAGCCATTAATAAACATTTGTTACCTTTAAATCAAATATGCATTATATTGCATTATCAACAAACAATGAAAAGTACAGTAGGTGCCCATCTGCCTCATTAGATATTCGCCATTCATCAAAGAGGCAGGGGCATTTGTTAGACTCTTGCGCACGCGCCTAATGCCTCAAACCTGTCTGTCACTGAGCAATGAAAGAGGCAGTCATGAGCTTCAACTTACTATTTAGTTATAAAAAGGAATCTATACCCTCATTGATCCATGAAAAAAGCTTGCTTTTATGAAGGCAAGCGTGCATATCAGTTTGTAACGCGCGGTTTTGGGTGGATTTTGACAGTGTTATTGTTGGAGAGGTAGACTAATTGTAGCTACATTTTCATAAAAATGATACTCAAAATATGGGAAGACCATTCACCCTGGCTTTTTAGGTTAACGAGAGAAAGCTAGTCCCGTAGCAGCCCTAATGACAGGGTGAGGCGACATAGATGCCTACATCAAACTATAGAAAAACTGGACTCATGCAGCCGGGGGCTTAAAATATATTAAATTACCATGATTGTGAATTTAGGCATGGTTCAAGCCTGTTGAAGAGGCTGGGGTGTCTGAAAGTGGTGCTATTCATCTCGAAAAAGAGGGTCAGAAGGTCGGGGAAGTTCACAGGACCTGTTCCTATTCTTATGCTAACTTACAATACAGACTTGAATGCTTACTGGTTTGGAAGATATAAATGATTGGACAATAATCCCGGCGCTCTTGGCTTTGCTGAGCTGTTCTGTTGCTAATTGCTGCTCGTCTGGCTCTTAATGAAAGATTTTCGGTGTCGAGCTTTTTTTCTCTCCGTGGATCTTTCAGTAGGCTATAGTTGGGGGATCGTGTAGGCTATTGGGGATAGGCTATAGGGGAGACCGAGGAGTGTTGCAGAACAGGCTACGTCAATATTTCTTATGTTAGGCTATATCTCAAACTATGACATAAAATATTTTTTAAGAAAACTATGACGTCAGACCATAGTCAAACACAGCAGTTTCAATGTTGCGCGTCCATTTATTGTAGTAGCCTATAAATTGAAAAAATAATAATATTGAAAAATAATATAGGCCTATAAATAATATATAAACACCACCCTAGGCTAAGCTACTCTTATCTCGTTTATATATATATATTTTAAAAATGTAAACTGGCCTACTACACGAGAAACATTTGAAATTAAAACCGCAAATAAATGGGCGACAAAACAAGACTGTGTGTGTTTTTCACAATATCAATTAAACGAGAAATAACTGATTAAGATGAACAGTTCTGCCGTTTATTATCAAACGACGTGGTCGAAAATCCTCTAAAAACCAAGGTTCTTTTTTTAGCGATGCATGCCACATAACAAGTTGAACATGAACAATTCAGGAGTTTTTTTTTTTAAGTATAGGAACATTTTAATTATATAAATGCAAAGCTTGTTGTGAAATGGAAAGGTTCCATATTTTAAAGATTGATCATCTTTAAGGGTGTATTTAGACCTGAATTTATTTATCTAACTTTATTCTCTCTGTCTACTGTCAAGTCAGGGTACTAATGATTTTAGTCACGTATCTTATTTCTGACGTTAACCCCCCCCCCCCCCCCCCATGCTAGTTTGTTTGTTTACCTACTTTGCCCATTTTAACGAAAAAAAAGTTTTTTCTCTCCCCAACAGCAGGCATAAAGATTATTTTCTCAATGCTTTTTAAATAGGTGAGCCCTCAGTGCCTCTTTTTATAATAGTTGCTATTTATCTGCTTATGACAAGCAGAAAATCCGAGCAGAAAAAATAAATGAATACAGTCGATCCGTGCCACGTGACTTAACACCTGCAGTTAGCGAGCGCAGGGAGCGCACTTGGTGGTGGGTCATTTCCGGCCTTTTTTGCGTTCTCATGCTTTATATTTAATACAAAATATGACGCAAGGATAATAGGCCACATGAGAATTCAGCAGGATAGGAGTTGAGGGTGTACATAGCCTAATAATAGGCCCATTCAATGGAGTCCTTTGATGTTTGGAAAATGGTTTACATTTCGACGCTTATTTGTATTATCTAAGCTTTAACTGAAACGCATTTGTTTATGTTGACCAAATAGCTTATTTTGTCCCGACATTGCCATGGCACAGGAAAAAAAAAAGTGTTTTGTGGCCTAAATAGTATAGCCCCTACTAAACATATTGTCTTTTAGAGCAAAATGAATAGTGGGAAACAGGAAGCAAATTCATGCCATCAAATTCATGTCATCTCTTTTATCTTCTTTTCATTATTCGATTGGCCCTTTGGGGATAACTGGACAAACCACTTGAACCTAGCACATGACCTCTGACCCTTGTGTCAGCTGTGACGGTCCTCAAGAGACTATATGTTGACATCAACTTCAAATATGACACTGAAGTGCTTTAATGAAGTGTACTCTTCGGACTGTTGGATTGCAGACTGGTTAACATCTACAGTATATAATTCTAATTAAATGGATGGTCTGACTTTTTTTTATTTAGGTTCTATTCAAGACTTTCAGAATTTCACTAGCCTAACACTTTAATAAAACAATAAAATAATCCCCCATCACACACACACACCATCAGTTGCCATTATGCATTGATGCTATTTAAGAGGCTTGTTTGGAGCAAAGGGCACGTGTCTGGTCAGTTCTGAATCAGTCTGCCCCCTTGGTCCACCATAAACAGGTCACAACCCTTTTTCTATTGTCTAAACTGCAGAGGTCAACCACGACAAGCTGTGGTAAATAAAGGGGGGATCATTGAGTGTTTGTGTGTGTGTATGTGTGTGTGTGTGTGTGTGAGATACATCTTCACATAAATGCATTTATTCTCTAATTTGTTTTTAATGAAAGTTTTTTTTTTTTAACCATACAACCTAAAATGTGTAAATTATTGTCAGGCAATAGAGAGCTTGTTGTTACACTTGTAGTGATGGGTTGAAATATTTAAAGAATAAAGATATTTTGAAAGTTTTAAGTGAATAGATATTTAAACGGTAATGCAACTTAGTGTTTCCTATTAGTTTAAATACCGTTGCACTTTATTTTACAGTAGGCTGCGCGCTCTTACGCGCACGTGGACTTACAGTGCTTAAGAAATGTAATGTAATATAAGGTAACATGGGTTAAGGTTGGTTTAGGGATGGGTTCAGGGTTGGTTATTACGCAGTTATTGTAATAAATATAAGTAGGCTACATTGTATGTACACTGCGAATTAAAGTGCTACCGAAAATAACTTTTGGAACAGGCTAATACGCGAACAACTCTAAGCAGTTATCCAGGAGATTGTGCTCAGTCTTTCTTTAGGCCCACATTGGAAATGGCTACCCTTACCGTCTGGTCAGGTATAATATTTAAAATTTTAACATATAAATGACCAGGTTGAGTGGTTCAAATTAAACACGATGAATGCTGAATAATGATATTTAACATCTTTTTAAAATCAAAATAAATTATAGAGCATACCAACTTATTGTATTGCCTCTTCTTTTTTTGTCTTGTAAATACTTTATATTTTTATTACAACTCGATATTCTTACTCAGATAAGTGGTGCTCATGATTATGATTTCACCCCTGTAGCTGATTTCTAATTGTAAACTAATTGTGTTACACCTTACCCCGTGTTACACGGTCGTGGGTCTTTCCTACAATATTATCCTGTTTCTCCACAGGCTTGTTCAGATATGAACGATGTGCGCTTGTTAGGGTTAGATTGCTGAAAATCTACAGAGATCGTTTACTGCTTACTGTACATGTTTATTGAATTGCAAACACGCTGGATCCCCCCAAACAAAATAATAGATTAAAATAAATGAATTCAGTTGATATTTCAGACCTCTGGTCTGTTTGTATTTTTTTCCTTCTGTTTATTTATTTAACTGAGCCAATTACGCTATAATATTAATGTATAACAGGTGGGAAGGATTTTCATTATCCAACAACATTTCAAAGTTTCCGTCTCTTTTATATTTGTTCTCGGGATGGTTAACATGGGTCGAAATAGTGTGCCCACCTAATTCAACGTATTAATCTAACGACCGCCTGCAATACATTTTAATAGATTTAAAAATATAATTCTGAAAATGTTTATATTTTTAATCTGTTTAGCTGTTTAATCTGTTTTAACGTTTTGAAATAGGCTAACATTAGGCTACATGAAAAGTATTAGAATATTGAACTTCCGACATTGATTTAAAGTAGACTATTCCAAGAAAGAGCAGGCCTATCATAAAATAGCGCACATTAAGCATACAAGCTATAACACGATTTCACCTTGATCACACAACACGCGATATATCATTGCTAAAGGCAGGCTATATAAAGGTTTAGCTGAAGTTTGACGCTTAATGAACTATTAATTTACAAGATTCCCAATTCTTCTATTTGTTTTGTGATTCTGGAAGATTCACGGAGGGAAACCCCATTCAAATTTAATTTTACTTCAAGATTAAAGCTTGTGAAATTTGGCAAAGATACGTCCATTTTAACGTTAAAGGTGTGTGAATCATACTTTTACGGCGCAATATAATTTAACCAGTGTTTTACGCTAGTGTATTTCTCATCAGCTGTCCAAGTGTTTAAATATGTAGGCAGCTACGTCATAAAATATTTTAAACTCATTTTTTTTGCTTCAACCTCAATGTTTACTTATATGTTTACTAAACTCTTAACTCACACTACAGCTTATAAATATGCGTCACATTATCTCAATAAATAGAAAACTATCATTGACAGAAAGTCAAGAAAATCCCATTGACAAAATTAGATGAAAATATTTGATCTCCTTCCCAAAACCTTAAAACGCATCAAGCTGACTCATTCTCAACCCAAATGTTGTTTTTCGTGCGTGTGATTTCTGCATCAATAAGGGAGGTGACTCATTCCTCGTTATTTTCCACACTTTATTATGTGCTGTCCAAGGTGCTGACAGGAGTGCCAGAACTCACAAAATACAAAACAGCCTGTGGCCACTACATGAGAAGGGTTTTAAAGTTCATTTCCATACCGAAATGGGTTTTCAATGTCAACAACCATTCAGAGTATTTAATGCATGTTTGTTAGTAGGCTACAGTTTTCTCATTTTGTTCATACATCCAATACATCACACACAATCAAACAAATCAGCTACATGATATAACACCATAAATAGCCATGCATGTTAAACAATTTTCTGTAAATTAAATAAAACGGGTACATTTTGTAAATATAGGCTAGGGCATTTTTTTTTTGTAAAGTGTTGCGTATAAAACCGTCCTTGATCATTTCTCAAGTGTGTGTACATGCGTATGCATACGTGATTCAGAGAACGAACATGCGCACAAAAAACGTGCGTTTCCTGTCTGTCTGTCCAGATGTGAAATTTCTAAATCACAAATGATCTTGAAATTGTGTGCAGCTGAATGGTTTCAGATCTCCGCCTTGTAAACGCATACTAATGGCGTTTAATGTCATTAACATATAAAAGAGCTCCAGTAAACGTTGAGAACGGCGAGCGGCTCAGATTCCTAAATAACTGCAGTACTCCGCCTCTCTGCCACAAGGGAAAGTGCGTACGTCTGCTTAGACCCTGACGTGCTGCTAACCACTTTTTCACGTCGAAGATATAAATATGAACGGTGGCGTGGATTTTGGCTTATGCACACTCTCAAATAAACGAGGTTCATGCATGAAAGCTCATTTTATGTAAGAAGTGCAGATCACATATATATCGACATTTGTTTCAATAATGCCATTGTAAACATTTGACACATTAAGGCACATTTTCTCTTCAGTGAGTACAAAACATAAGATTGTCCAACACATTTTTCAAAATCTCAGAGTGAACAGCCCAAATGTGTTTTCATCCACATACTCATCCGGAATTAGTGAATGTTTGAAGACTGAATGGATTTAAGACACCCAGTGAAATCAATTAGTGCACATTTTGAAATCCATCCCTCAAGTCTGATTTATTTAATCTTCACAGCGACCCATCTGAAAGAGATGCTGGACGCTGGATTCCTGAGGTGATGTGATTGACCATTTGAGTCAATATAGCTGGATGGCCTCGGTTTCTCAGGAACCTGGTCAGAGAGAGAGAGAGAACAAAAGAAGATAAATATAGAAATATCACAAGGCTTACTGTTGTGATGCATACACGTAAGATAACATTGGAATGGACAACAATGTGCACATTGAAAACTCAAGTGAAGATTATTGACATTGTTTTTCGACATTTCTGAAAGGAAAATAAAATACTTTATAAAAATAATCCTGTGTGCCAAAACTGAAGTTTGTGGTCTTTAAAGTCTCTCCACTCTTAACTTGAAAATATCTGATCGACTGAAATGCAAATTACATTTCTGCATTTCTTCTCTTCTGGTTTCTTAGTTGTCTGATAAACCTGCCATTGTGTAGTGTACTACTCCGATTGTTGTATCTTTGATGAATGCTTTGGATAAAAGTGTCTGCTAAATGCATAAATGTAATGTTAATGTCTGGGAAGAGTTTTTAGAATTATCAGCCAGTCTACTATGAAAATGGTGAACTGAAACAATGCAATGCAAACACACAACTGTTTTTCACCACAAATAGATGAAAGAGGATTTATGGGTTTGTGACACTCCTAAAATGCAAAGGTTGCAGATTTTGGAAAGGTTGGAATCCATATTGGTGGCTTTTTCAATTGTTCATTTTAATGAGAGCAATCAAGCATCTAAATTGCAATGTGGTAATACAGTTTTTCTTGGTGTGTAATTCTACAATTTTCACCATGTTCACTCACTCAGCTTAGTCATTATAGTCTTAAAAGGATGGCATTTCGAGATCATTAAGTATTTTATTTTGCTTCGAATGACGCGGTAAAACAAATTTGCTTATCTAGAGAAGGGGAATGCATACAACTTCCCGACACTTTTACATTCATTGACCGTATTTGTTTACAATTCCTCCTTCGTTTGCTTCCAAAGGTGTTGAGAATCTTTTCTATACCCAGTCACCCTCAGAATTTGTGTACGATTTGTACCAACGCCATTACCAGTTTTCCCAAATTATATGTAGAGAGGTTTATGGACAATTTAATCCCTGCAGGAGTCTTGGCAAGACCCCTTTCTCTGTCAATTTTCACCCTCTGCTTCATTCAAACCCCCTCTCTCTTTCTGCGCCTCTACAATGTGGGGTTTCTTTCTGTCTCTTTTTTTTATATTCCTGCATATCTTTTTTGCCCCCCTCTAGCCCCCCACCCCCGTCCCAAAAACCCTCAGACAGCATGCAGCTTATGCAAATCACTGGCCTTTTATTCTCAGTTCTCGTCCTCAGCCTTGAATGAGACCTCAAGAAAACACACACTCACTCAACTCTCACTTGTTCTCATCACCACACTCTACTGTAATGAGAACGGAGCCCTTCACGACATTCTATGTTGATTATAGTAGACGCATAATATTAAAAAGTTCCTAATATCTTCGCAACTGAGAACTAGAACCCCCGTAGAACCAAAAGCCAGGGATCATTTTTCCCAATAGCCTAGATGAGGAGTTGCGATGAGGAAGATTATGGGATGGAAGTAGACTAGACTTTTAGTGGGGGTGTTTACCAAAGTCACTGTGACAAGGGGAGGTGGGGGGGCTGATGAATATAAAGTGCTTGCTGCCATTCCCAGGGTCTAGAACACACACCCACACCCAACTACGCTGTGTATATATAAGAGTGTGTGTAAGGAGGGGCGAGCCAACCAGCCTGACTTCCCTCAGACACTTTGACAGGCGGGCCTTTTCACCAGCGCATTGCTGGGCCGGCCAGCTCTCGCTCCCTTAGCAACGGCCCCCTCCAGCCGGCCACCGAAATGACAGGGGTGGGGGACAGGGGCAAATAGGGTGTGGGTTACAAGGGGAGAGCTGGTTCACAGGGGTGGATGAAGAAGTTCCCAGTCTGGCTGGGACTCCAACAGACATTGAACTTGAACTTGACTCTGAAAGCAATAACGAGGATCGCATGTCCTTTCATTTATTCACCTTAAAGGAGTAGTTCACTGTTAAAAAAAACTTTTGCTGATAATTTTCTCACCCCCATGTCATCCAAGATGTCCACGTCTTTCTTTCCTCAGTTGTAAAGAAATTAAGGTTTTTGATAAACATTCCAGGGTTTTCTCTATATAATGGACTTCAATGGGAACCAAACGGTTCAAGGTCCAAATGAGAGTTTCAGTGCAGCTTCAAAGGGCTTTAAATGACACCAAACGATGAATAAGGGTCTTATCTAGCGAAACGATCGCTCGTTTAAAAAATAAATAAAAAAGTTTAAGGTTTATATGCACAAATGCTCGCCTTGCTCTGCTCTCCTGTGATGCACTCTCCTGTTCAAACTCGTTCATCAAAATGAACAATCTTTTTTCGAGTCATGACTTCATCGTCTGGTGTCGTTTAAAGCCCTTTGAAGCTGCACTGAAACACTCATTTGGACCTTGAACCGTTTGGTTCCCAATGAAGTCCATTATATGGAGAAAATCCTGGAATGTTTTCATCAAAAACCTTAATTTCTTTTTGACTGAAGAAAGGAAGACGTGGACATCTTGGATGACATGGGGTGAGTGAATTATCAGCAAAAGTTTTTTTAAAAAGTGGACTACTCCTTTAATGAACACAAAATGATATTTATTATGTCCATACAATGAAAGTCAAAGGGGTCCAATGTTGTTTAACAACGGCAGACGTTTTATTTTTTGTTGAACCATCGATGATGGATCCAATGACGTTTCCAGAAATTCTAAAACTTCCAACATTAAACAACATATATTTCCTTTTCAATTTACATTTTAAAAGCGATGGTAATTCTCCTCATTAGGATGTAAAGTGGGCAAAAAGCGAAGCAAAGCTACAAAGTGAGGATAATTATATCCCAAGGTCTTTTATAATGGTGGGGCCATGATGGAGGTTTAAGTGTTCCCTGGTCTCCACTCTCCTGTTTTTGAATTCCTAGTCCTGGCCTTTACTCTTGCGTCAGTTTATTGACGTTCCCGTGACGTGAGTGGCTGCTTTAAGGATTTGCAGAGAAGACCTATAGCTTCGGTCTCATTTTTTTTGCTTTATTACAAAAAATTACATCTTTCTTCCACTCTAGACAGGCTATTCCAACCTCATCTTTAGCTCTTCATTGTTCTCAACAAAAGAAAAGTCTGAAAGAACTGCTTTCCTAAGTGACTTCATTTTAGGTGAGGGTACTTTCATATACCCCAAAACCCCACTTTAATGCATTATCCACATAAAAATAAATCCTGTTATTTACTCACCCTCATATTGTTCCAAACATCTATGATTTTCTGTTGAACATACTTTGAAAAGCAATCTTACTTCAACATGAGGGTGAATGAATGACAATTTTCATTTTAGAGTGAACTATCCCTTTAAGGTACAATGCTCACTTTCATCCATCTGTCAAGCTTAGCAGTAGGTCATGATTAAGGTGCAATATAGTTCTGTGATCTTAACGCGTCTCCATTGTCGTTCTGGATTACCTGCGTCTAATAGTTCAGTTTAGATCTACCACTCTGCTGACTGCGGTTCTTTTTGCTGCCTGTTATTCCAGCCAGAGGAATCCCAATCCCAAGCTTTTCATGACCACTCGTCCAAGGACGGGGAGAAAAAGGTGGGGGAAAGAATTTCAAAGCTCCCCCGTAGCTGATACAAAGCTAAGAACAACCCTTCGCGGGATAATCGCGTTTATCCCCAGATTAAGACGAGATCGACAGCTGAGGTATCCACAAGGGGAAAAAAGGGGGAATTTTCCCCGTAAAACACACAATGGTCTTTAACACGAACCCAAGAGATGCTTCGGAGTCCCTTCTCTCCATTGTTCATTTCTCAGTTATGACTACTGATGAAAGTGATTCGTAATGCTCCTTGTTAAGTGCCTTCATTAACACTATCCATTCTCAACCTGTCCTGGAAAAATGTCTTTCATGCCAAAAATATGACTGCTTTTTCTTAGAAAGCACTTTCTGAAATTTCCAAATCGAACGTGGCACAAAGTTTTTTTTATCAGAGCAAGAAATGAAATGTCTCAGAGCTGGCTTTTAGAACTAAATATGTGAAGCCCTATAGCACCAGACATAAAGATGACATATGACGGGGAGAAAACTGTTAGTATGCCAGACAAATATTCCCAGATAGCCACCTCCCATAGGCCTTTGATATTAACATGCCAGCTGCAGCAACTGCCACATGGGGCCACAGACTGAGCCAGACAGTAACAGCCCTCCCCCCTCCACATCTATTCTCCACCAAACACATGTTTCCTACATATTTTATTGTTCATCATCAGTGCATTCATTAACGTCAATTGTTTATCTCACCCTATTTATTTTTTTCTCCCACCGAGAACAGAAAACCTCAGACTGTCCTCGTAGGGTTCGTATGAATCGTTTTCAAGTCCTCCAACTGTTCTGCAGAACTTTCTTCTATTTTTTTTAGCATAAATAATTCCTCCTTTCTTTGTGGTTCCCCGTTAGCTTTGCTGTGATATAATGTCGCTGTCCCAGTTTAAACTTTCGCTGTGGTTTTCTGTATCACTGCCTCCATTTTGCTGGGTAATATATTGTAATGGAGCTTTAATTAATTGCTTGCCCAACTGCTGTGCCCTAGCAGAAGGGAGAAGAGGAACAAACTCAAATTTTACATGCAAAATGCTTTAATATATAGGCTACTATATACTGCATATGTGCTGCATACGCACTTTTTTCAAAGCAATGCCATTGAAGAACCATTTATGGTTCTCCAAAGAAGCTTTTAGTGAACAGCCCCTAAAAGAACCATTTTGTCTAATATTTTTATACCATGTATGTCTTCAAGGAACCATCAATGCAGATAAAGAACCTTTATTTGTATGCATTATATCAAATAAATAGATTAAACTGTGCAATATAAAATGCTGCCCCTCAAATACACACAGATATGAGTTACAAACTCGATATAGATAAAAGGGTTCATTGGGGTTCTATATATGAAGCATATGGTTCTTTACTCAACTCCAAAGAACCTTTTATGCTAAAAAAGGTTCTAGAATGACAAAAAAGAACCATTTTGGCATAAAGGTTCTTTATTCATTCATATATTACATTATTCTGCAACATTTTGTTGTAATTAAATTATTGTATATTAAACTGTTGTAGTAACTTAATATCACCATTTTAATCATGCAGATTTTTGGAGGAGAAAACTGAAATGGCACTCTGACTACATAAAATGATAGAACTATATAAATTTTATAACCCCCATATCTTGAATTTTGTGATCATTCACATGCATTCAAATACATTTTAGGGTCTTGATGTTTGTCAATAATATGATAAATCCGGAATAGACAAAACAAATGATAATGAATTAACCTAAAAGGTTCCATATAGAACCTTTTTCCTGGTTCCAAAGAACTCTAAAGGGTTCTTTTATTGAACCCTTAAAAGGGGTTCTGTATAGAACCTTTAGGGGTTAGCGCTGATAGAACCTTTTAAGGTTCTTAAGCATGCACTGCAAAAATACATAACATCTACTTGCGCGAGCACACGTGATTGTGCAAATGATCACGCAATTCCGGGCTGCACAAGCATACAATGGTGCTAACACGAAGCACGGATGAGAAATAAAGCCCTCAGCCGTTCCCTGAGGATAGTCTCTTAGGGTTTTGGTGCTAATTTAGGCATCTGGCTCTGTCTGGGCCTGAGCATCTTTCTCAGCTTATTACCCTCCACTGTCTCTGGCACTCCATCCATGCAGACAATGGTGGGAAACGGGGGACCGCGGACCCACGTCAAGTACTCGCCGTACAATGCTGCCATTGTGGAAGAGGAGAGGGGTCTGGAATAATAATGTGGGCAACTATCAAACTGTTTACCAACACAGAGCCTACAGCTGAAGATTAACTCTTTATTTATCGCAAATCGTCATTTGGGGGTATGCTTGAATATGTGTAAGGAGAGAAAAAAAGTCTCAAAATAGACTGACTTTCTTGACCACACACACAAATAAAACACATTTATCATCATATACACAGATGCAAATGACCTTGTGTGAAAGTGATTATTGTGCCAGACACCTAGGGAGACATTTCAAGAATTTGCCCTTTTCAGTCCATGGGAAAAAAATATATAATCAGAGTCATACCTAAAAATCCACATATGCCACATCCATCAAGCTAACTACAGACAGTAATCCAAATATGACAACGAATAGTATTTTTTTTTTTCATTTGAATAATAATAATTCCATTTGTGTGTGTGTATACTTATATGCATTTGGACTGGAATTGTTTCACTGCAATATTGCTTGCTTGATGCAAAAAAAAAAAAAAACATTTAATTTTTGCCCATGTGCATATCCGGACGCAAATATTTGCGTGCGCATTCTGTTTGACGGAAAACACAAAGACCTGGTAAACCACAAAAACAATACACAGTTCAGAGCGTGATTTGCATATTGAAAACTGGAAAAATCTGGTATGGGTTTGGCACCGTGCCAAGCGGCATAATTAACACTTTTCAGCCACTGCTCTGCAGCAGTCACATTATGCTCTGACAAGCATCCACTCCCCCTACTCGACCGCTTATACTCACACAACCAACACACCGAACGCAAACCTGAACATTTATTCCTTCTTCATATATTCGTAAACACATATTTGCTGTTAAACCATCTCCAGTTGTGATATTTGCCACCTAGGAAAATGCTATGTTGTTGTGTAACAGTATTGCATTAGACTCTCTGTTCAAGAGTATAAAATTAGTTTTGTGTCCCTATCTGAGATTTTGAAGCACTGAAGGTCTTTTACATAAAACCCTGAGAGATGCAGAGGGAGGAAACCCCTCCCCCTCGCTGCAAGATACACAGCCTAATTAGAAATTCCATATTAAAGGTGCAGACTCTCATTTCCATGCTACTATTTTGTCTAAGGATGAGCTTAAAATATAATACAAATGGAGACTCTTAGTTTTGCATTGTCTTGAAAAATCCAACATGCTAACTACTTCCATATATTAATAATAACATCTACTGACACAAATGGTCTGTGTTAAATCTTAAATATCTAGCTTTGTGTTGAACCAGTTCACTATGTGTAATATTAATGTTTACCATGAGAAATCCTAAAAAGACAGAAATGGTTCTTGTCTCTCACATGCAAAACGGAGAAAGCAAATGCTCCTTCTTAAACAGCAAAAATAGTGTTTGCATCAAAAATAGACAGATTTTTGCACCGCACATTTGAGTGTATATTCATCCCTGGAAATTTCTAGAACGCATGTACACACTATAGTTCTCTGCGAGGAAAAAAAAAAGCATTTCTAAACGCAGATAGAACACAAGCACAACAATAACTTCAAAGTATTTTTTGTCTTTGCAGTGAAATGCAACAATTTGAATTGTAAACATTCAAAATATAAAGCATTGCCACGTGCCGTTTTTAAAGCGCCGCTGTGCCTTTAATTGGGGGCTCAGTCCTCTCTGTTTGTTCCTATGCAATTATGTTAATATGCAGAGCTTGTCTGGTCTTTTTCATTAACAGAGGCGCTTGCATCATTGTTTCCTTTATTTGTAAGCTCCACGGGCACCTTCCGTACATCAGTGATCTTTTTTTACGGGCTATTCTGCCAAGCCTCCTCTTTTTAGGATAAAATGTCAGTCTTTTTTTCGCCCCCATTTATGGACAACGAGATCTTTTAGGCACACAGGGTTTCCACGCTCAGTAAGTATGCAAAAACGGTTTTCTGTTATTACGAGGAGGATTCGGTGGCTTTAAATATTCAGTAGATGACGCATCATTTGTCTCATCTTCGCATCTCAATAGATATCAATGTATTTTGGATATTTGCGTTTTATTCATCCGTGTCGTGTTGGTTAAAGCACAAAAAGCAAAGCAAATGCGTCTTCCTAGAGCAAATGTGTTTCAGAATGCCTGTGTTCCACCTACTTTCATCATTTTCTGCAATAAACACACCAGCACAGCTCTGCGTATCACCAGCAATCCATTATGACGCAACCATTCACCTTTGTGAGGAACATTTCAGTGTCTTCCATCCATTTCAATGACATAACACGCAGCTCTCTGTAACCAAGCGGCCTGCGTAAATTTAGTGAACCGAGAGAGCAATGTGACGTTTTGCACCTCTCTCTTTCTGACCTGCTAATGATACAAACTGTGGCTATTTTGCAAGGCACCAAATATCATTAAAAACATGGCACAGTGTGAATCGGCAGAGCTCTTCTCCAACATTAAAGTCGGGCAGGGCATGCGTACATGCTTTTTGTAATGTGGTGAGGGGCACTTGGCACCTTTGTGCCAGCAATTTAGTGCATCATTAAGCAGCAGAAAGAAAAGTGCTCTTCAGTCCAGGTCGACTCGGTTGCATTGGTCAAGAGGATGCGGTGTGTCAATTAACTTAGTCTCTCGAGTGAGTTCGAGCAGCTCTTGGTTTCATCTGAAAATCTGGTCACCTGGTTCATTTTTTGTGGCAACTGGCATGGCTGAAGATTTAGTTGCACGAATTTGTCCTTTGCAAACGCGTAACACGACCTCGAGTCAATTAACGGGGTGAGTGCGTGAATTAACAGCTACGTCCCATTCGAAAAATGCATACAGAAGCACGAGGGCTTCATTTGCGTCCACATATCAGCACGAGTGTGTGCATTTAGGTAACGGGGCTAATTAGTCAGGAAAGATGAGAGTGTGATGGTCTAATGATTTGGCCGACAAGGCCTAATCTTGCGCTCAGAACAACCACGAAACACATTCCATCTTTTTTAGAGACAAATTCGTGTACGCATTCGTTTGCTTAACATTTACGTACAAGCGGTCGAGCTAACAGCGCGGCAGCTAGTCTGATGTAGGCAACGATGCAGCTTACCTCATGCCAACACAGCCATTTTAGGAAGCAGCAGCCAGTTTCTCCATCAAGATGGCTTCCTGAAAGCACACCCCTCATTCAGACTTGCAGTCTTCCAGCATCTGGTGGTCCGTGGCAACTGGCAGCCTCTTTGTCCCCGTTGGCACTTGGGATGTAGGCTCTCGCTCCTTTCTTTTTCCCCTCTTTTCTCCGGGGGCACAGATGGCACTAAATGCTTCCGTTGAAGAAGAAGGGAGGGGAGCTGGTTGAAGAAGGATGAGGGTTGACTATTATTTTTCTTTTCTTTCATTTGGACAATTGCACCATTTTTTTTCCCTCTCTCTCTCTCCCTTGCTCCGAAAAGGCAGTGTAAATGGCTGGCAAGGGGAAAGAAGAAAATAAAGGACAAAAAGCTCCCTTTTAGCACTGCCAAAGCAGATGTCATGGCTACTACTATATATCATTTCTTTGAGGGGTAACATTTCTTGTTACTGTTGTGCTTTAAGCAACTTTACCAGGGACAGACAATCCCCTATTAGGAGTGTTGTTAATAATTACACGAATCGTGCAAAGGCATTTTGTGTTCTCATAGCTGTGCGATTGCCAATGCTGGTCACTGAATCAGCCCACATCAATTACTGTCCACCCATAATTTCATTGAATAACCCTTATTCAATTGTGCTAGGTAACCAGTTTAGCTGGAAAAGATCATTGTTAATGAATGATGACAGAATTTCTTTGCTCACATTAATTTTACATAAAGTAATATGCGATGTGATAGTGGCCCATACATTCTTATCATTATCGAGATGGAGACGGACACATAATTTCCTCTCTCTGATCATTCATCGCATTGAAGCCTTTGGCCTAATGTCCTGCAGTCGTACTAACCACGTATTCTCGGCCATGTTAAAACACATTGCGATTTAGATTTATTTTCGTTCTTTTTCACACACGGGTCATGCCTTTGAGGGATTTTTCTTGAGAGAATTATGCGCTTTGTGTTTTTTTCCTGTTATGATTAACAGCCCTTTCTTTATTCATTTGCTAATATGTGTGTTAACTGCACAACGTCTGCCTGAAACGATTTGAAAGGCGCAAGTGAACATATGCCATTCATCATAATGCAACATTAATGTATAGAATAATTAAGAGAGCCTTTTGGATTACGACCTGCACTTTTACTGTAAAGAAATTATTGGTGACTAGCACAAATGTGAAACTGATATTAGTGTTTTTCAAGGATAAATATCTATAACTGATTTATATACGCATGCAATTTGTCAAAGAATGCCAGTGGGCTTTGAGGAGTGCACATTTGAGAGGGAAAAACTCGAGTATGCATAAATATAGAACATGAATATGCATGTATAAAAAGAGAGATAAATAGATATATAGATTTTCTGATGAAAGATTTATGTAATGCATTTAGTGTCTTGGACTTGATTAAGGATTACTATTTGCATTTGGCTCCTTTCAAGTGCATGCATTCATTAGCATATATATTCTATGATGTGGTGTGTGTTTGAATCAGATTTACTATAAAACTAATTGTTCTAATTGCAATGTTGCATTGTAATACGCTTTGATTGCACTTACCAGATGGTGTTTTTTCCCTTAGCTTCAGTCCTCTGGTCTCTCACAAAGACACTGCAGTTGGAGAGGCTATAGTAAGTTGGAGTAATAAAAGAAATAAAGATGAGACAATAATCAGAATATTTTAGTTTTACATATAAACCCACTTACATTTTTATTCATTCATTATTATATATAATTTACAAACAAATAAATGCCAGACAACCTTGATTTTACAATTTGACCTATGGCCTAATATGCACCTTAAATCATACGTGGCATGTGAAACAATTTTTGGGGGCAAATAGAGAATGTAAATCTGCCTAGTCAGCTCATTAAACTTTTTTTTTTTTTTGCTCTCTATAATTTCTTTGTGAGTTCTTTCCATTTTTACATCTTTTTTTCTTTAAGATGTGATTATCAATATTTTTGTTCAGTTTATTTTTTCATTCAGTTTAATTGGCACTCTGATAGTGTTAACACGTCCTATTTTCTAGCCTAAGAAACCTTTCTGTCTGTCTCTGAAAATAAAAATGTGCATCTTGTGTATTTAGTATTATCCTTAGAGCAGTGAAACAATGACTTTCAGACCAGGAAATTTACTTTAGGAAACTAAATTTAGGAAAAGTCCAAATCAGGTTCAAATTTTCTACATTTTAAGTACACATGCCATTTGATAGCTATAGGTTTTTCATTTAGTTGGCATTGTCTTGTTGTCTCACTATAACACATATTTTACACAGACTTTTTTATATTTTTTTATGTTTTATGATAACATATTTTTAAATATAGGTATTGGTACAAAAGAGCATTGTAACACAGACTAGTGTGTGTGTGTGTGTGTGTGTGTGTTGCTCAGCGTGAGGCGGAGCTCTAAAAGCGCTTACACTTCTTATGATTTTAAACTCTAAACGTTTTCAACTAACATTTTGTTTAGTCTTTTTTTTTTACAGTAGTGAGTGCCGTCTTAAGTCATAAAAAAGGACACGGGATAAAAAAAAATCTATTCCGCATTATTTTCCGCTACATCTTTGACGTGTAGGCCTACAGCCAGATTAATATGGCCAATCATAATGAAGCTGCTTCAGCATGATGTCATTGCTTAAGAGTTGTGTTGTGGGTCAATGACGTCACGTTCATTTTTTGTTTGTTACCTAGATCGAAGTTGTTCAAGGCTGCAATAAAATTAAATTCATACAAAAATGACTTGAATGGCCTACGCCTCTTTCATAATTAACACTTTTTTTTCATTTAAAAAAAAGCTATGTTTTGGGGGCAAAGATGTCTAGCAAGTGTCTATAAAAAAGAAAGAAATAATTTGGTCTGAATTTTTTAAATAAATAAAAAGGGTTTAATAATTTTGTCTCTTAATCAGTAATGTGAGTCCAACACGCAGAAATTTTTTTTGTACAAAATTCATTTAAAAGATCATTGTAGTCGTCATTTGTCATAATGAGAAGAGATTTACAACCAAGCATTTGAGCGCTAATTTATCCTCGATTAGTAACAGACTAATTGTAAAATCCACATGGAGTCCCTTTTTCTAGATCATACCAAGATTGATCCGGAACACGCGCATTATTATAAAGCGCAGGCCTCATTTGCGCGTGTCAGGTGCGGAACAAAAGCAAGCGTAACAGCAATGAGTTTTCCCTGGTTGAGGTAATGAGATCGGGTGCTTAGTTTGAAGCAGTTTGGGAATGGGAACTAGCTTGGAAGTTTATAAACTTATTAAGTTAACAATGCACGACAACACTGACAACCTTTTTATTAGCAAATTAGTATCTTGTGATGTATAGCCTAAGTAAATAACTGCTGTTAATTAGGCTTTCTTTTATTTCTCATAGCTTTTTAAATGTCAGACTAAACAGTTGCCAACAAAACTAATCTTGATTGGTCAAATTATAACTTTAAGAAACAATAGCCTATTGAGTAAAATAAGCAATAATAATTTATATTTTAAAAATAAATAAAAGTGTAAATGTAGTCATTTTATATAGCCTAGTGTCGAACACGGTTTTTTTTAAACAAAGACGTTTACGAAATTGTCAGAAATTGAAATAGTGAATTTCACAAACGTGCACGCGTCCAAAGGTGTATTGAAAATAATAAGGGCTGAAACATTATTTATCATCGTAGGCTATATATTCCTTTACATTGCAGTGATTTAAAGAGCCTGTATGAATCACGCAGAGGGCCTGCTTACCTCATGCAGTTTCCCTGCAATCATTGCTTCCCATTCAACTTGTCCACATGCAGTTAAGGAGGACGTTTCTACTTTCGGTTATCTAGCTTTATGAAGGAAGATAAACACTCATACAGCTAGATAACCAAAGACAGCAACTACCTCCAGTCAACACTTTTTAAATGTGGAACATCTCACAAAGTTGACCTGATAAATGAAAACAGGGTTAATGCGCAAGAAAATAAATGACACTCAAATTCCATTTAATTGACTCTTTTTATAGACCTGTAAATACTGTTAACAAGTCAAGTGTTGAAAGGATTTATGAGGTTCTGAATGTGGATTATGTGGTGAAGAAGACATAATCCACATCCACAAGTTGCGGTTTCTGTCGGGATGCGTTTCAAATTGAGCCTTTGGAGTTATTGTCAGGGTTTCCATTCAACAAACCGATTTAAACAGGATTTTGTCCCTGCCTTCCGGTCAGTAATAATCTTTTAAAATGACGATTATCAGGTCTAACCATTTCATTTGGCTCATTAGGCCCCAACAATCACACCACATGTCTAGGCTACATCATGCATCATTTATGCCGTGCATTGTAATTCAGAAACTGCAAAAGGTAACGTTTATTTTCAGTTTGATTTCAATATAAACCCAAATAGATTATAAAGTTAATAAGAACGAAGGTATCAGTTGTTCGGTTAAAACGTGTCTCCTGAACCCACGTTTCCCCTCACGTAAATGTGACGTCATACAGTTAAATCTATTGCTTGGTAAATGTCTGTTGTTTCTATATAGGCTAATGCAAATTGTCCTGCTTTTTTTGAACAAGCATGCCGTATTGTATTGACTAGCCTAAAAAATATAGAGCATTATAAATATTATATAGGCTGGAAGTGCAATAAACAGATACTTCTTTACTAAAACAAAATGCCACTCATATCAAGATCAAGTTATTAAGGGCCAAAGAGCTACAAATGTTCCAGATAGATGCACCTGCTAGTGCACAAAGTCCAGACAGTGTTCAGAAGGCCACATGCACTTACTGAACATGGCCTTGTCGGTCACATGGGATGATGGGGTCAGTTATAAGCAATTCATATCAAATGTTAGGATTATACATGCATATATCCATGCATTTTTACAGATATGCATTTAAAGTCAACTTATGGACACCAATCTATAAGAGTTCTAATTCATTGTGACCAAAACAGTGATCCAAGCTGTACTACGAGTCCATTCGCTTTAAAAATGCACAAAGAGTAAGCAGAAATAATTGAGATAATTCAAAAAATCTTACTTTAAACAACTGACGTACATATTCCTCTGTGTCAGAAAGTAAGCTATGAGTGGCCGTGTGTCGGGGACAAATAGAGGTTCCCGTGCGTCTTGCGTTAAAGAACATGACGCTGAAATCTCGGAGCGGCGCAGACGCATCTAGTCAGAAGCCAAACTCTTCCGTGCATCTCTTCAGTGAAGCGTTTTCCGTTCAAAACTCGCAGTCCTTAAGTATTCAGCCATCGAATGTTACGTCTCAGCCATCCAGGGATTGGAACGGGCAGTTTAATTTCCAAGATGGGGAATTCCACTCTTGAAAGGCATGCTTACAGTGTTCATGCACGGACGTGAGAGGAAATGCAAGGTTTACTTTATGAAACCTGCACGCGATGTTCTCATTCTCGCTCTGTGGATGTGGTGTTCTCTCTCTCCGGCTTGAGAGAGTCTAGTTTCTGACTAAATGCATCCTCCTCTGGCAGTTCTCTCCTGCAGTGACGTCACTCCAGCAGCAGGCAGCCGAGCGACCAATCACACGCGCGTGCTCCCTTTCTCCCTCTCTCTCTCCCTTTTGCGCGCGCGCTTTCCCTGGTTTACTGAGTGCGCGCGCGTCAGAGTGTCGCCTATAGGTTCCAGAGTTCCTATAGTAACCTAACCTAAAATGAATTAAGTCATGCCTATAGTTTCAGCATTCCCCTGCAATATTTGCCTTTTAAAATGAGTTAGAGGTTTGTGAATTTTAAAGTGAGGAAACTTTGTAAAAGTAGGCTATATCCTTTCAAATATGCGCATGGTAACTCACTATATAGGCTGCTAATCTTTCTTTGACAGCAATCCGACACAAGGCAACACAGTAAGAGTGCAATGTTTCCAAGTAAGCTGCCCGAACCGATGACAAAATCTATGTGTGCGCAAACATACTTGTCCAAAGCTGATTTGGGGTCTAAAAAGAAAATGCAAGAGTGTAAGTTCAACGATTCTTTAAAAAATAAATCTGATAACTATAGGTTGTAGAGAATTATATTAATAAGGTGGATTATGGTAATGAGGGACACTTTTTGCAATTGTGATTTGTGTGCCATATTTCCATACGAACCTAATATATAATATGCTAATATAATATCAAAATCTTAGGAAATCCCTATATGCTCTTCCTATTAAATCGTGAGAATTATTTCAGATAGTGTATTCATAATGAAAAGGGCACACATATATTTGTGATTCTTGTGGAGTAAATCGTATGAAAATTTGTGGATTTTCTAATAGAGTTTGCGCTGAAATCCTATACGCTGTTTTGAGTTAGAAATAGTTAATTTTTATGAAGCAAACTTGCAAAAACGCTCCTGGTTAAAGACAGCAAACACCGTAGGTCTACTAAATTAACCAGCCAAACATGTGCACGCGCATTTATCAGTTTGTCTACAAAAACTAGCCTGTACACGCGTGGAATATTAAATGCAACCATATAGCCTGACACAGAAGTTATACAAATAATGTATAATAAATATGTCAGATGGCAGCAACAATAATAACCAATGAAGTAAAATTGAAAATAACGTGATAAAAGAATCAGAAACGATTTAAATTTCGGAACATGGAATGTCTTTAAAACTGTTAACTTATCTGCATGGTAAGACGAGGAATATGTATTTTCAAAAGCATGTGTTCAGCTAATTGTAATGAGCACTTCATATAGGCTAGCAGAAATAAGCAGTTCTTACCAGTCATCGACCTATCAAGGATCCAATTGTCCTCTTGCGTCTAGTCCAAGGTTTTGAATTCTGATCTTAAACAAATAATATGCTGCACAAGTAAAAAATAGGCTTACATGTGTGGCATTTAACTTTCTTAATAGGCTACACATTTTCACTTCTGAAACCGCCTGGGACGACAAAGATCACTTCAACACATTTTAACAATATTCTTGCAACTTTTGATGCACAAAAAAATCACTAAAATAATTTAGAACATTGTTTTATTTATGACAAATGTATATCCTTAACATTAAATCCTAGGCTATGGCATCTGACGTTTGAATAGTCTTCATTAGAGGTAGGCTACTTACTGTTAGATGATTTTTATGACCACAATTATGGCATTTAAGGAGCGCGTGTGCGGAAAATCAGTTGGAAATTGGTCATATAATAACTGTTGCTTAATAGGCTATCCATCGCATCTGCTTGCTCTGATTGACCCACTGTCTGCTCTTTTCTAATTTAAAAATAAGTTTTACATATTTGATAAACTCTCATTCGTTTTCTCTCCATCATTTCTTTTAATTAGGCCTCATCTTCTGTATGCCATTCTAAGCATTAATCTAATTATTATTAGAGCTATTAGCTATTGAAGGGTCTGGCGCTTAGCCTATATAGCCTATGGTTTCGCTTAGTTTTTTAAAAGGAGTTTTAAAGCAATCTTCACTTTACAAATTATTAGAATTACTTTATAATACAAATACGCGCACAATTAGTTGAATGTGCGTTAATAATCAGGTCTACACTATAGGCTATACGTGAGAATGTCCAGTCTGATAGCGGATAAATGATGTTATTTTCTTGACCCCGCCACACGTTATGAAGGGCGTTTAAGTGAAGTCAACTCAGTTCATTCACAAAGGTCAGCTGCTGGGTTAAATGTCCTGAATGTCCTGCGGCTGTGAGAGTGTCTGTTGTCGTGGTGTGTCCTGCACTGCTGCAGCTGAGTGTCACGCAGAGCATCGCTTGACATTTATACACCACAGCACTATGTTGATTTGGATCTGTGGAGAACTAAACGGGAGTTTAACCAGACATCAGAAGAGCGAATTTCTATCTCGAAGTTCTTGGCTAGAGGGGATAACTAAAATTCCCCAGAGATAGATAATGACCTTGGCCTTGGTTACATTTCACAGTCTCCATGTTAACTGATAGCTTTATAATAGATAAGCTAGAACGACTTTGTGGTTGGCTAGGCTTACTGCTTGTAAAATCGTTATTAATATCATTAATGCTGTAGCTAATTGTTTATTAAAGCGTGATAAGTGGACACTAATGTAAAGCGTTGCAGGCTTTTTATAATCATGTAGCCTAAAGTTTCACCAACGCGTTTTGAAGGACATGTAAGCAAACTACAGTTTTGACAACAGCGACACTTAGCGGAGAGTCTTCTCATATTCAGGCGCTCCATACAGCCTAATTGAGTTTCGGTCTAAATAAATCATAGGGAACGCTTTTAAAGATTTTAAAAACTGGAGTGAGTTTTGTGTAGAAATTCTAATTTTCAATGTTTTTTAAATTATATTTGAACTTGTAGATTTTTATGCTGCGGCATTGAATTGTAAATATAGCCGTATGTAATGGTTTAAAATTGTTTTCCATTTTATTTTAGTGACAGCGATAACCAGCCACCCCTGATAAAACAAATACAAAAATTTAAAAATTTGTATCTAATCATTTCGATTCAAACGATACATGAGAATGTGTTTACAAAATGTTAGACTTGTTTGTTTAATACAATCTAATTTTAAATTTGCCTATAGGCTATATCACTTAAACAGTTATGTCTGTTGCTAATGTTAACATTGTAGCCTAATGTCAAATGGTGTTTAGAAAGTACAGTTTAATGTGCAATCATTTAGATAGTTTTAGTTTTAGATAGATAGACATGCTTTTTGATGTCTAACATCTTTCTACAGAA